TTCACCAACAGCCTTTCATGGGCTCTCTTCATAGTGCCAAGCCTCAGCTTTTCTCCATGACCCCTTCATGCCTTCAAAACTTGAATAAATTTTACACTACTGATCTGGGCTACCAGCACAAGGTACGACATTAGCTTCCGCTCGATCATAGCTTATGTATGCTCTCAAGAAACACTTCCCAACAGATTCCACCCAAATAATGTTGGTCTCTTATTAATTACCACTAATTTCTCAGCTCCACCTGACCAGCGTCAATTGTCCCAGTAAAGCAAAGGTTTAACTTCAGTGGTGCTGGCCTCTTGTTAAATAACCAGAACCCAGAACCACATTTACACAAATGGTCTGGTAGAGTCTTTATTTCCCTCTGAAATTTCACAAGCCGGGCCTTCATTTTCTGCACTGTTCTCAATATTCTTATCCTCCAAACTGCTACAGAACAACCTTTTAAGCTCTCACCTCTGGACTTTCTAGTCCAAAGTTCCAAAGCCTTTCTACAATTTTCCTAAAAACATGACTAGTAGCACAATCCTGGTACTAGTTCATCACAATTTAGGTTACTATTGCTGTGACAAAATACCATGACCAAGACCTGGATGGAGGTGGGGGTTCCTTGGACTTCCCACAGGGCAGGGAACCCTGATTGCTCTTTGGCCTGACAAGGGAGTGGGACTTGATTGGGAAAGGGGGAGGGAATTGGGTGGTGGGGAAGAGACAGAAATTTTTAATAAATAAATAAATTTATAAAAAAACAAAAACAAAAGCAAACTGGGGAGTACACAGTTCATTTGGCTTATCCTTCCATACCACTGTTCATCATTGGAGGAATTCAAGACAGGAACTCAAGCAGGGCAATAATCTGGAGGCAGCAGCTGTCTAGGTTAAGGGTCTAATTTGCTATAAAATTTTGGGGATTATAATTACACCATTTCTCCTTTCTCTTTCCTCTCTCCAAACCATCTCATTGACTATTCCCAGCTTTCTTTCAAAGTCAGTCTTTTCTTCTACTAAAGAAGTTATTGAATGCATATATTTATATACATCGATGTTCCTAGATATAATCTTCTCAGTCTATATAATATTCCTTGTATGTATGACTTCAGGGCTGACCACTTGACACAGGACAACAAATTGATGTGCTCCTCCCTGAGGAAGGCCACCTCTCCTGCTTCCAGCTTTTGTCAGTTGCCTACAGTTCTTTGGTCAGGTTGAGGATTGTGAACTTTTCTTCATCCAGTTTGGCATGTCCGTTCCTGTTGTCATTGTTCATCTACCTTAGGGCAGTCATGCTGGTGAAACTTTATGGGTGTGCATTCTGATGCTACTAGGAAACACAGTCTCCCAGCACACCCCCTGGTCCTCTGGCTTTTACAATCTCAATGCCTCCTCTCTCATGTACCCTGAGTCCTAGGTGTGGGAGTTGCCCTGCGTATGTACACATTCATACTAGGCCCTACAACTAACTCTACATTTTGATTGGTTGTGGTTTTCTGTAGTGGTTCCTGTCTGTTGCAAAGAAAGAAAACTTCTTTTCAGAAACTTTCCATTCTTTCTTGTTTCTGTCTATCAAGGACTGGTAGTTGCAAATTTTCCTCAAACTTCAAAAATGTTGAGGTGTTTTTCTTTCTGGGTTGGTTCTTAATGACTTTCTCTACTCGAAGGATACCAGTCTGGGCTCACATCTTGATAGGTGTAAGGTCATTGTGGTAGTTTCGGGCAAGAATACAGACAAATAAAAAGAAATAGATCAGTGTCCAGTTGCTTCTCCTCAGTTGGCTTGTGTGCATGAAAAGCACTACCATCCAGCCATGGTACTAACACAAACCCAGGAATTCCTCCCTGTGCAAACGGCATTGCTCAACTTTGTCTTATATCTGACTCATATAATATTTTATCATTCTCTGTGGCAAACAGGTCTTATCCATGGAGCTGTCTCCAAGTGCCATGACATCTCATGGGAAAATAAGTTCTTCTGTGTGCTAAGCCAGCTCCCAAATAATCCCATCCTTCACACAGAAAATATACTCCAGAAAGAAAATAAAAAAAACAACAATATTTTAGCATATTTTCCCAGTCTGTGGAGTTTGATGTTGCTTGGTGGCATCAGGGATCAAAAGTAAGGCCTGATCTAAGCTTGGTGTGTCATCTACTGCCAAGCCTTTCAGTGAGATATCCAATGCTACCTGATGGGAACAAAAGAGATACACCCAAATAAGAGCGGTTATGTTAGGCTTAGTCCTGACTGTGGACACCCTATTCTGTGTTTAAATGGGATAGACTTCCACTTGCTTTTGCCTTGAAAATTTCATATTTCAATAATCTAGTGGATCAACATATAAGTATACAACTTGATGGAAACATGTGCAAAGTTTATAATTCACTTCCTATTAACATCCGACAGGTGTAAGCAAATGCTCATTTCACAGCACACCTATATCAAGACAATTTGAGGCTCTTATCTGCAGCACTTAGCTTGCTTGAAGAAATCTTGACAACACTTAACCAGGGGGGAAGTGGTTGGATTCCAGTCATGATGACATCATGGTTTGGAATATAAGCTTGAAGCTAAAATTAGGTAAACTCTTAAAAAGGCTGACTTCTGGACAGTAGGCAGGAAGAGACTGTGTGAAGGAGCCTCCAGCAGACAGAAGTAACCTATGATCTACTGGCAGGAAGGAACTAAGAAAATCAAAGGATTATTTTTGTAAAGAAAAATTAGTTATATCTCTTCAGAGCCTCTATCCCTCAAAATCTATTTATAGATAGGTTTTGATTAACGAGTTGCATTTATTTATTGTTATTATATAGCTTCTTTATTGACAATATTTATCTAAACCTCTAGCCTATTGAACCAGAATATACAGAACTACACATCAGTGTATTTTAATATATTTTCTAGGTATAATATTCAAGGATGAGTTACTCAATAAGCAAAGGTAATTTCCTAATAATTTTAGTTAATAAACAAGTAAGATATTTTCTACCTTTTTTTCCCCAAGATTTTGCCTTTCAAAGACAAACTATCGTGTCTGACAGATTGCATTTTACTTGAAGACCAAGTATGGTGCAAAAAAGTTTTCAGTTTGTGTTAAATACCTCTTCAGAGCATTGTTGTCGCTTCCTTTCTCTTTACTCAGGTCCAACAAATTCTCCCGGGCAGACTCTGTAGCCTTGTCCTGTTTCAGACTAAAGTCATTGATCATTTAAATACAGATCTCTCTTGCACATTGTTGTCGATACAAATTGACAAGTTGTTAAAGTCATTGATGCATATCTTGGATGACACAGGGTCAAAGCTAACTTCTACCTATCCTGCACAGCTCCAATCCCATATCCTCCTCCTGTCCTTACCACAGTTCTGATAGTGTTACTGGGACCATCCATGTACTTGTGCACATAGCAAATGAAAACTAACATTTCTACATGCAGCAATGAGTGTATCAGCATACAGTTCACCACCTGCCATTAATTATCTGATTTGGCTTGTGTTGCGAAAAAAAAGCAAATTTTCGAGAAATAGGGCACTGAACTTCTTTTCCAAAGAAATGGTAATCTTTAGTTTGCTGACATTACTTTGGTAGTCTGGATAATCCAAAATTTCCACCAATTTATTCTGAATTATATAGTTCATCATCAACTAAGTACAAATATGTTTAACAGATATTTTTGTATTAAATTGGCAAGTTAACCCATAGTAGTGCCTTTGTTTTTCTGTGAACCGAACCTACATGTGCGTGGGGGAGCGGTGGTGAAGCCTAAGGAGATAGTTGAGAATAAAAACTCACAGACAACATGGGGAATTCAAAATCACCTTATCTAAAAAATTTTAAGTGACTATACATAGCAAAGATTTCTAAGATTCAGGCATGGTTTCTTGGATGTTCTACAAAGCATCTCATTCGTGTACCTCTGCTCCGCTCCCAACCATATTTTGACATTACTGTAGGTATGAAGAGATATTCAAATGAATTTGTGTTTGTTATAAATTTGTTTCTTTCCATTTTGCAAAGCACACTAAGGGGTTATTCATACTACCAAACCCCAAATGAGTTTTCATGGGCAGGCTATAATATGTGACTATTTAGGCCTTTTGTAAATGGAGTTTCTTGTCAATTTTGTTAAATTTATCCCTTTACAATATAGACTTATCACAGTAATTCTTACAGAATACCAGTTGTTGAAAGGAAAGAGTTTTTGGTCTTTGCAAAACTGTTGATTTTCTAATATAAGCTGTTGATGGTTTTTATATTAAACTCCCCTGTATGATAGAACCCATAAGAAAATTCTGCTTCTTTCTGCAGGTCCTAAGTTAAAAGTGCCCACTTCTAAACATTGCATCTTTTGTACTTTAATGTTGACATGCTTCCCTGTCATGTGATCAGAGGGAGGCAGATTAATTGGGAGTCCTCGCTGGAAATCCCCTCCCTACCTTTTCTCCTCTCCTCCGCAGTTGATGGCAAAGTTAATTCTCCTTGGTTTTGTCATGCTCTGACACGCACATTGCCAGCCATAGTAAGCTTTAAGAGTGCAAAAAAGATGCAGCGATGTCCATCGAAGTCTTCAGGCTATGTTTTTTAAACTTTGGTTTGACCTGATGTGCCATTCAAAAAGAGCGTCAAAAGGTTTTGGGTTTATTTATTTTTTTCCAAACAGAAAGGTTCAATATGTCCTGAGGCTATCGGTTTTGAGTTAAACTGGGTGAAGTAGAAATATTTTACTCATCAGCTTTGCAGTCACAGAGTTTGCTCCAGCTAGAACAAAACTGCTGAGGCATTTAGAGAAAATTAACCCCCCATCCTGGCGGCCAGATGTGACTGGTCTCTGACGAGTGCACATGAGTGGGCTGAAAAGTCAAGAGACTGTGAAATTCCTGTCAGGTCCGTACAGTGCGGAACGGGCCATTGGCTGCTTTCTATATTTTCCCCCATCATTCTTCTTGAACAGTGCCATTAATTTCCTCTCCTCCCCTGACTTGTGTTTTTTTCCCTCCCTGTCGCCTTTAGCTCTGTCAGCTGCAAGAAAAGCTGGACAATCAATGGCAAGAATACTTCAGACTGGTGATCCTTTTTAACCAGAACCGGCTGGCCAAGTTCCAGGGGGAATCCCAGGACAGCATTCAGAAAATATTAGTGGTGCAGGTAGGTGACTGCAGCGAAAGAGGCGAGATTATTCTGATCTACATTGGAAAGCAAATGACGGGGTGTGTGATGAAGCATTGAAACCATATCCCATTAGAGTTTTATAAATTTTTAACCTCTTTGATAGACTAGGGCTGCATGAAGGATGAATTCAGCAAGTGAAAACATATACCACATGCCATGCATACTTTGAGGGAATAGGGAGATGGGACTGACTTATCGCAAACCTTAGAGAGAGTTTTTACACATACATGCTACTAAAACTGTGTTTGCTAGCCTCCAAGCCCCATTCTGCCTTGTGTTGGGGGAGGGGTCATTCCACACAGTGTGTCTTCAATCATTCTCTGCCCTCTTTGAGACAGAATCTCTCACTGAAATGCCATCTGGAGCTCTGTCTGGGAGAGACTGACTTGTATTCTCCTGGTGTGCCCCCCCCCCCCCCCCGCTGCAAGAACAATGTTTTAGGCACATGCTATTATTGTGTTTCACCAAGAATTTTTTATATAAATGCTGGGGACCCAAACTCGGGCCCTCATGCCTGCATACTAAGTGCTTTTCCAACACTGTTTTGCTTTCAAAAATGTTCATCGTAATTTTCTGGGAATACTTCAGTGCCAAGTGTGCTTTGTTAAAAGGATGGGTCTTGTGTTTGTCCTGTTTAGCTGTTATTGTTTTCCTTCTATTTGGTTCACACTTCTAAGTGTATATGGCAGTGACTCTATTTGAAAACTATGACAATTGGTCCTAGAATGTGACTGCACTTCCAGATACATGTGACATTTTGCTGCTTGTGTCTGAATCTGGACAAGCATTTAATGACCCACTGGTTTTTTTTTACGAGTCTGCAAGGCTTGAGAAAACCCTGCTGGTCATGTGAAGACTCTTGGTAGGGATGTTACTCAAAGTTGTTCCAAGCCAATGCTTTGCCATTTGAGATGTCATAAAGTGTGTTAAACATGGTGTCCCAAAGGAAAACACATGCTATTTTATTTTAAGAAGAAACAAAAGAACACAAGATGACCTGTCCCCTTTAACACAGAGCAGCAATGTGGTCCTTAGAACCATGGTTGTCAGGAAGTGGCATGGTCAGTGACAAACACTGGACCCCAAACACATGTGCTTTATGCTGCTTTGACTACAAGAAAAAAAAAATTCAAGGAATTTCCACAATTACTAAGCAATTTCAAATTCCCTTTTTCCTGGTGTCTGTTTCTAGCATTTCCCTGTGAGTAATGCATGCTTTCCATACTGGTTCGATTAAGAATGAGTTATAGAAAACCTGAAATAAAGTGGAAGAAATTAAAGTGTTGTTAGGTACAGAAAAGCTCAATGGAAATTCATGTGCAAATGGCAGTTACATTGGTTTAGAATTCAGAAGCATTTGTTTTCATTTAAAAAAAAAAAAAACCTTTAACATACAGCATATTAAGAGAGAGGTAGAAACTAAATAATTGAATATCATTTGAAGTAAAACATGCGGGTGACTGCTCATCCTACTTCTCTCCCCAGGTTCTGATGGTCTAAGGTGCTCCAATGACTTAGTGTTGTAGAGAAATCCCAAATTTCTCCCTAAATATTTATGTTCTTATAAATCCTACAAATTGCAAATTCTCACTGTGAATTATGATGTGTTTTCAAAGACTGATAATGTCATTTGAATATCTGAAAGATGAGTGCTTACCCATAACCTTCAAACAATCTTTGTTCTTATTTAATACTGGAAACGCACCCTTCTGTTTTTTGAGGACACTGACTCTGGGTTGTCTGTGTTTGTAACAATAAGTAATCCGGAAGTGAAGGAATAGCTTGGGACAAGGAAGGAAACTCGCGTGGTATCTAGAGACACAGCAGGGAGCTTGGCTTTGGTTTAGTGTATTTGTGAGGGAGTGGGGGTAGAGGCTGCATTTTTTTCTCTACAATAGATGCCTTCATTTTAGAATGTTTGAATGCTAACTTTCCTTAAAAATGAAGCTACAACGTCTAAAATCATGCCACAAACATATGCCAAGAAAGCATATGATTGTCCTGTGCATATCAGACTTAAACTGGATAATGTAGTAGATGCCACTCTCCAGGACCCCCTTCCTACCAGCCTTCCCAACCTCAACACTCTCCGTGGCTGCCCCTTTGGTCTGTTCCTGTTCCTTCTCCTTCTCTCCTACTTACGCCCTCCCTTCTTCTACAATGTACTTCTTGCTTGCCCCTTAAGGAACACCTGACTCAGTCAATGTAACAGTCTTCCAAGTCCAACCCTACCGGCTTCTGCCAGGTCACTAACCTTCATTGACCTTGGTCACCAGCACTATTCTCTACACAGCACTTTAACACTTCAGTTGCTGACTTTCCATGCTTGCCATTGCACCTTCCTTTCTAGAAGTTTCTAGGATCCCCCAGCACTTACTGTATCAGCGACAAGAGCAACATTCTTCCTCAGATATTTTAGGAGAACGGCATTAAGTTGTCCACATTTGACAGTGCTGAACAAGCCTGGCTTCACTTATTATGTCCATCTAGCAAGCCATGATGACACTTAGTACATTTGCGGAGGAGCCTCTGGCTGCCGGAAATTACATCTGATTCAACAGCACAAACATCGCTTAACATCCCATGCACTAACTTTCCATTTTCAGAGAACTTGATCTCAGGGTTCACTCTGGTTATGTCGGGGAATCGAAACAGTCTCTATTTCTAAATGATTATGAAGATGATGCTGTAAGATACTAGTGAACTACTGAGCAAAATTTATCTGCTGAACCTTTTGAAAAACTAATTGATGGTAAATAAATACAACACAATGCACATGTTAAAGAGAAAAGACGACCTTTGGTTCATCCTCAGGCAATGGCAGAAAACCAGTAGGATCGAATAAGCTTTTGAATTATATGACCAAGTAGAAGCCAGGAAGATTAATGATAACCAGAATAAAGTACTGGTATATTTGACTTTGTAGCCTTGTATATACATTTAAAACTCTAATTATATTGGTTGACCATGGTTTTGATAGAACTCAAAGTGGACATCTACAAAGCAAGAGCAAGTCCCAAGTCTATCGCCATGTTTTTGACTAAGTAGACACGCTTTCTGCAGTCTTGGCTGCATGTGTGTGAAACAATACTGAGTCCCATCATTTCATTTTTCCTGCAATTTGTTTTCTTTCTTGTTTTTAATTCACATGATCCTGTAGCAGCGTGGAAAACCTCTTACACATCTCATTTAGCAAATAGTCTGAGCACTGATCAATCACTCAAAAGACAAAGCTGCAGGGAACACATGCAAATGTGATCTCGGACTACATAAGCAGGGGTGCATTTTTCTGGAAGGATCAATTCCATCGTACTTTTTTTTATTATTTTTATTAATTTCTTTAACTTTTTTAGTCGCTTGCCCACCCTAAAGTGGCTCCCTTAACTAAGAATTGTGGTTCCGTGCTCCCCTATCCACCTTTCCTTTATCCCAATTCTCCCATTTCCCAGGTCCCCCCTCCTTCCCTTCTACCTTTTCTCTCCCCATCTCCCCTTACCCCCATCCCACCCCCCCCAAGATCCCATTTTCACCCCGGAAATTTGGTCTACTTCCCTTAGCGAAGAGGACAACTATATGTTTTTCCTTCAGTTCACCTTCTTCCTTAGCTTCTTTAGGATCACCTATTGTAGACTCCGTGGTCCTTATTTATGGCTAGAAACCAATTATGAGTGAGTACATCCCATATTCATCTTTTTGGGTCTGGGACACCTCACTCAGGATAGTGTTTTCTATTTCCATCCATTTGCATGCAAAATTCGAGAAGTCATTGTTTTTTACCGCAGCGTAGTACTCTAGCGTGTATATATTCCATACTTTCTTCATCCATTCTTCCATTGAAGGGCATCTAGGTTGTTTCCAGGTTCTGGCTATTACAAATAATACTGCTATGAACATAGTTGAACAAATGCTTTTGTCATTTGATAGAGCATCTCTTGGGTATATTCCCAAGAGTGGTATTGCTGGGTCCAGGGGTAAGTTGATCCCGAATTTCCTGAGAAACCGAAACACTGACTTCCACAGTGGTTGCACAAGATTGCATTCCCACCAGCAATGGATGAGGGTACCCGTTCCTCCACAGCCTCTCCAGCAAAGGTTATCCTTGGTGTTTTTGAGTTTAGCCATTCTGACAGGTGTAAGATGATATCTCAAAGTTGTTTTGATTTGCATTTCCCTGATTGCTAAGGAAGTTGAGCACGACCTTAAGTGTCTTTTGGCCATTTGAACTTCTTCTGTTGAGAATTCTCTGTTCAGTTCAGTGCCCCATTTTTTAATTGGGTTAATTAGCATTTTAAAGTCTAGTTTCTTGAGTTCTCTATATATTTTGGAGATCAGACCTTTGTCTGTTGCGGGGTTGGTGAAGATCTTCTCCCAGTCAGTAGGTTGCCTTTGTGTCTTAGTGACAGTGTCCTTTGCTTTACAGAAGCTTCTCAGTTTAAGTAGGTCCCATTTATTCAATGTTGCCCTTAATGTCTGTGCTTCTGGGGTTATACATAGGAAGCGATCTCCTGTGCCCATCTGTTGTAGGGTATTTCCCACTTTCTCTTCTATCAGGTTCAGTGTGTTCGGACTGATATTGAGGTCTTTAATCCATTTGGACTTGAGTTTTGTGCACGGTGAGAGATATGGGTCTATTTTCATTCTTCTACAGGTTGACATCCAGTTGTGCCAGCACCATTTGTTGAAGATGCTTTCTTTCTTCCATTGCATACTTTTAGCTCCTTTATCGAAAATGAGGTGTTCATAGGTTTGTGGGATAAAATCCGGGTCTTCTATACGATTCCATTGGTCGACTTCTCTGTTTTTATGCCAGTACCACACTGTTTTCATTACTGTAGCTCTGTAATAGAGTTTGAAGTCAGGGATGGTAATGCCTCCAGAAGATCCTTTATTGTATAGGATTGTTTTGGCTATCCTGGGTTTTTTGTTTTTCCATATAAAGTTGATTATTGTCTTCTCCAGATCTGTGAAGAATTTTG